TTTTGCCCAGAATCTAAAGTTGTTACAATTTTTGACAATTTCATCTGATTATAATATATTTAAATAATCAAACAAATAAGATAATTTTTCATTCTGCAGTCCCATAGTGACACGCTATATCAATCGATTGTGAGAACTGTTCGTAAGACTCGGTTCCCACTAGATCACCGAGTTCAATCATCACTGTCGGCGGTCAGTGAGCAGGTGGGTCCCCACTCTGATCAGCCTGCGAAGTGATCTGAAGTGAGCGGTATCATACACATATTCCATTTCACTCTGAATTAGAGCGTAAGATGTCCATCATAGCTATAAATCTTACTCTATTTTTGGCCAGATATTTTGCCTCTTTTTATGTCTTGTCTATTGTTTTCAATTAATTTATAATCACTATTTGCCAAGTACTTGTAGATCTTCCTCTTTTTCTATTATCGTTAAGGTTCTAATCAAAAACTTGTTTCACTTTACATTTTCCAGCTTTATGTAGAAAATGAACAATCTATTTCCATTTACGTTTTTTAATTCCCAGTTCAGTTGGTTTCTATTTTGCGTTTTTAAACATTTTTGAGGTATAAATTTTACGGACCGCTTGATATGAAAAATTCTTCTTCATATGCTGTTAATCAATAATGAAGTATTTTTGCTGTTAATATTTTTATTGTAGTGCCACATTTATGGAGTAGGACAGATATAACATTCGTGCTGAAAATTCTAATTTTTGTTGAAATTCTTAATTTTTCTACTATAAATTTTTATTTTTTTGTGCAACCCAAAATATTTTGTGAATTGAAAGCCTTTCGTAAATAATGAACACTATTTTTTTTTTAAATATTAACAAAACCGTATAAAAACAAGTAACTTGCCCACAAACGCAGGTCCCGCAGTGAGCTGATCAGTAAGACACAGTTCCCAATAGATTAGCGAAGTCAGCATCACTGGCGGTCTGTGAGAGGGTGGATAACCACTTTAGCCAGCCTACGAAGGGACCGAGAGAGTACGGTACTGGTCTTCGATAAATTGATCTTTCGTTAAGTACTTGACTTCGTGTGCAGATCGTTGGGCTCCCATAGCTGGGAATCCATCCCCTCTGCTGAGGATCAAAATTGTGATAGCATTCTTTGATTCGCACACAGGG